TGGCCCCTTCTGAGCCCCGCCTTCATGGCGGGGCCATGTGTTTCAAGGGTTACTTCCCCTTACATATGAAAATCGACTTCGCCGACTTAATGTGCATAATTCCTTATAAACACGAGCTTAGCCCAAATCCTACCAGTTTTACATCACGAAAATTAGTAGTATGACAGAAGATTTACATCTAAATACAGTAGATATAGATCTACCGATAAATCAGATACGGTCCTGTCAACAAAGTGCTCGATTAGATTTTTGCCGTTGGTAAAAGAATATTGGGCATTATTAGTAATTTATATATAATTCAGCAGTACAGAATCAATTCAAATAGGCACTGTGTTATTTCCTCAGCACCCTTTTTGAGTGGCGCTAACTTATATTTTAAAATTACAGATTGTACATAAGAACTTCAGAATGCTCTGCAAGACAGTTAAATTTCGGATCAAAATTATGCACAAAAGATATTTCATTTTCTAAATATCTCTCACCTTTTGACATTGAACTTGGGAAATTCTATATCATTCTTTATGTAAACGGTGTAATTACGGATAAAATCTAAACTTTGTACCCCATTCTTAAGGACATGTGTATCGTTTTCTAGCGGACACCAGGCATATATTTCGCAAACACCCGATCCTGAAGATATTTTCAAGCATTTGCCAGTGTGCACGCCTTAAAAAAGAAAAAAATTCTTAAAGACATAACAAAAGCGTCTTAGAACACAAATGTTTTTATCTAAATGTTTTAAAATTTTAAGTGTAGTGCTCGATGTAGATCATAAAGTATGCTTAAAGCTGACCGATTTCGTGTGCAGATGCTGTCAAGTTGGCACAGTCGCTGTCAGAATTACAGGCCGACTAAAGATCATCCTCAACATTTAAATAGATGAGAATTATATCAGCTTACTTTGTGGCGCGACGTTGATCTCTGTGCTTTCGTTTTTATATAATTCGTCATTATGAAAAAGGCATTATGCTCAAGTGCTGGATAGACTAAGTCCTCCGATGGACATTTGCTAATTATATTTCCTTTGACTTTTGTTGTGACAGAACTCACGGCAGTATCATTCACTTGGTACCCTTTTTCATACAATAAAACCTAGCTGCCGATTGGAATTTATAGTAATAACTGTTCCATGTTAATTAACAATACATACCACACGACATATATTGCAATAACGGCCTGCAAAACGCATTGCGTAAGACCTATCTTCCAATTTTTTATTTCCACCACTTTTGGGGTTTCGTATATAAAAAGCGACTTGACGGCTCCTTGCATGCTCGCGTCAAACGTTCCCATTCGCTGTGTGCGTGGACTCTGATTTTTATATCAAATAGGTTTCAAGGTTATATCACAAGACGCTAGCATCAACGTCTGTTGAAATGATGTGAATTAACGAGATCGTGTGTAAACTTCAAACGCTAGTGGGACATGACACGAAGAAATAATATCTGCCTATTGATGAATAAATTTTATTTCGAAATGCCTTATATTGTTTAGTTCCATGGAAAATTTGAGAGTCCTGGACTTTCGATTCATATGTAAAAATGAAGCTTAGCCCGGAGTAAAATCTAATACCAGTTTTCCGTTGGGAGACGCTTGCACTGGCCAGAGCATATTCATATACTTTGTTTGTATTTGGTCATTTGCCTAATGCGGCTGAAACCCAATCTTATTGATAATAAACTGACGATGTTTTGGGCACTATCGGTTGCATTACCCTGAAGACAGAACAAAAGCTTGACGGAAAATTTTCGGATCAGAATGCCTTCAATAAGATGAATGAGCCCAACTTAATAGGTACATAACGGAATCCCACATAATTGTATTGGCCTAGCAATGATTATCTTATAGCCTAAAGAGTGCGGAAATTGGTATTAGCGACTACCAAAATATTCTACTGTGGAAGGTTTGGGGGTAAACGCATAGGCGTATAAATTTGTAAATCCTACGAAATATCTTGAGGTTGACGAAATGTACACGATGTAATACCTCGAAGGTGCGAAATTAACACATGCAGATTAGGAAATGAAAGTTGCTTCGACTTAAGATATGCGCGTCTATCAGTCATCCAGTTTGAAAGAAAGCTCTTTCCCAGGATTATTCCGTTAACCAGAAACCCGTATGAAAGCAGGCTGTTTTTGTTTTCCATAGTTTCTAGTAGTTTTCATTTGCCCGTGCACTCTGCCCTGATTGTCTCGAAAGAACGTGAACGACCGGATCTATTCTCATGAATTTTAAATCCATCAAGGTTAGAGCCAGTCTTTATAATATGTTCGTAAACCTAGTTTAAAATAGTGCTCGTGTATTTTTAGGCTTCTGTGCGCTGTTGAAAGGAATAAAATAGAATCGGTCCAACATTTCTTTACTGAGAGAGTTTTCTCTTCAGAAAACTGCAACATGTCCTAGTAACACCATTGTGATTTTACGACCTCGAACCCTGTGGCTTCGCAGATTACATAAAGAGACTGTT